CAGGCTCCAGGCTCTGAGCTGGCAGTCAGCACAGAGCCCGACGCGGGGCTCGAACCCACGAACCGTGAGATCATGACCTAAGCGAAAGTCGGACGCTTAACCGACTAAGCCACCCAGGCGCCCCTGTGGGTCTTCTTAAGATCCAGAAGAGCCCCCACGATTTTGTATTGCCCTGCACCCCGCATCCGGTCTACAGACCAGCAAGTGATAGAGGCCGTGGTCGGGGTGGCGGGGGAGGAGCTTTGACGCTCGCTTCCTCCCGGTGACAGCAAAGTCCAGGCTGGTCATGCTTCCTCTGGACCTAGCGCCCAGCTGGCCAGGGGACAAATCTCTGAGGACCAGCTGGAAGCCACTCTGACATTTCCCAGAAGGCAGTGAAGAAAACTGATTACCTACTCATCATTAGTAAAAATATGCCCCAGTTTATTTTTCAGGATGCTCAACAGGATGCCCACAACCAGCGAGGTGCCGCCTGAAAGAGACAAAAGGAAGAGCATTTGCCCCCAACCCGTGGAGGGGCCCAGCTTAGGTCAGTGCAGGGCCGGACAGCGTATGAATGCCTTTCCTCCTGTGGTTCTCAAAGTGGGGTTCCTGGACCAGCAGCAGCACCGCTAACTCAGGGGCGCCTGGGTGGCTCAGTTGGTTAAGCGTCTGACTGCGGCTCAGGTCATGATCTCACTGCCTGTGATTTCGAGCCCCGCGTCAGGCTCCATGCTGACAGCTCAGAGCCTGGAGCCGGCTTTGGACTCTGTGTCTCCCCTTCTCTCTGCCCCTCCCCTAATCACTGTCTCTCTCTCAAGAATAAATAAACGTTGAAAAAAAACAAAAAACAAGAGATGGAGATTCTCAGACCCCCATCTCAGACCTACTGAATCAGAAACTCCACGGGGGGAGGCGCGCCAGGCTGATTCTAATCTTTCCAGCTGATTCTAATAGTCTAAAGCCTGAGAACCACCGCTTTCCCCAGAGGAGCCGATCGGAATCTGTCAGCCTCCGAAAGCTGAGCCTGGGAGGAAGACACAAGGTTGGTTTGTCCCGGAGGCTGGGACGGGGCAGGCAGGTCCTGACATCCTGGGAGGGCAAATTTGCAGAAGGACCCTGGACAGCGGGAGGGAGAAGCCTGGGGAGGAAGGGCCACACGAAGGTGAGCGGTGGACATGGGTGACCTGTCCCTGGGAAAACCCACGAACGGCAGCAGGCAAGGCATGCAGGACAAGAGAGAGTTCGCAGCTCAAGGGGCAGGAGGGTGGCGTCACCTCAGCCGGGCCTCCTCCGGGCCAGGTGTTGCAGATTTGTCCCCTGCCCAACTTTGTCCCCTGCTGGCTCCAACTTCCCAAGCCCCGCCCCCGCCCCAGAGGATTCCACCCACCTGTGCAAAGCATGCCTGACTTGGCTGACCGCTTAGCTTGCACCGTGTCTGCAGCTCCCAGGGCCATCCCCACGCGGACACAGACGGCGTTGCTGAACCCCAGGGGAATCTGGGATCAGACGGAAGGGGCTGTCAGGAGACTCAACCTCTTGCTCCTGGAAAGGGCTGGGTCCGGAGCCAGGAAGAGGCCTGGGCTGGGGGGAGCAGCCCTCCAACCCGCCATCCCGGGGCCACACGGAGGGGAGCAGGAAGACAGGATGGATCCCAGGAAGGCAGCATGAAGAGAGAGGGTATTGGCCGCAGAGGCTGGGAGATGGGGTGGTGATGCCCTCAGTGTGCCCGTCAGTCTGCCCCCACCCGCCCCATCAAGCATCGCAGGCCGTGTTGCCAAAACCTCGTAAGTGCATTTTTAAGAGGTGAATGTGGTCTTAAGGGTGCCAGAGTAGCTCCCTGTTAGAAACACCAAATTCTGGGGAACCCTCTGTAAAACTAAGCACCTTGTCCATTAGTGCTGTAAGTGTAGACTTTGTGAATCATTTCCTTAGGCCCAGAGTGTGTGTGCCCAGGAGGCTGGCAGAGGCATACTTAGTGACATGGGACAACTCATGTCTCTGTAAGAAGAGGAGGGAGTTCTGGGGACACAGCAGTGTCCCCCCACCCACCCAGGGACGCCGGCACCCAGCTCCCGCTGGCTGGGGTGTGCAGGAATGTGGGCCCACTGCTGAATGGAATGTCCCGCTTTCCAAGAAAATGCAAAAATTCAGATTAAGATGTGAAGTCTCCCCGTTTTTAAATGGCACTCGTTAATGTAAAAGTTCTAACATCATGTGAGTTCAGTATCACTCTCGGTGGAGCAGCTGGTGCCACCTGTGTGTGTCTGGCAGGGCCCGGACCTAATGGTCACAGGAGGTCCAGGGTGGTCCTTCAGGAAAGAGAGCTGGCCTTTAGGGGGACCTCTGCCCCTCTTCTGTGACACCCCAGGCCGTTAGGGTGAGGCGAAGGTACCCCTGTAAGACACTCACCATGTAGACGATGGTGGCCAATTCGTAGATGATGGCCTGGCCGGAGAGGTCCACCACGCTGAGCAGGCCTGTGGGGGAGACACACTGTGAGCTCACAGATGTGGGACAGGACTCCCCTCTGCTTTGGAGGCGGAGGGACAAATGAGTTCCTAGGGGGCAGATTTGCAACAGAAAATGTTCCTGCTCGGCCTTCAGCCTCGCAGGAAAATCCCACCCAGCTGTGGTGGAATTTCTCGCAGGCTGTTTGTTCCCTGTATGCTTTGACTTTGGAGTTGAACTCCTTGGTGTAACACGGCCTATGGTGAGTGAGAGAAAAGAGACCTGGACCAAGATCAGGAGACCCAAGTTTGGGTCCCAGCCCTGCCACCGTGACTCTAGACAGTCTCTTGTTCTCGGGGCTCGGTTTACCTATCTGTAAATGGGGGGCAAGGGTTGGACCGTAAGCTCTCTCAGGGCCATTCTTGCGCCGGGCTTTCTGAGTCTCAGGCTGCGTGGACTCTGCACTGGGTGCTCCGGTGAGTACAGGCGTGTCGAGTGAGAGCCGCATGCCTGCCTGGCCCCTGCACGCTCACACCCAAGTGGGTTTAGTCCCTCGCGTCCCTCACTGACTCGAACACCTACCCCGGGGCACCCGCTCGGGTCCAGGCCCGTGCTGGGCTCCTAACATGAAAAGACCAGGCCTGCCTTCTGGGAGCGCACAGCCCGGAGAGAGCAAAGCCCCGACCCGGCCGAAGCTGCCAAACCACCCATCCGGGGAGGGGGCATCCGAGCTGCCCCCAGGGTTCCCCACAGGGTTCCCCAGGCCGTGGTCCTCTACGTACCCATGAGGAAGCTCCCGATCTCGTAGGCCCACCACTCAATGCATATCATGAGCATGCTGGGAACAGCCAGAGAGAAGAAGGAGCCCCAGTCCTGCAGGCACTGGCCGGACCAGCCTAGGAACAGAAGCCCTGTTCAAGCGGCGCGCAGGGAGCCCACTGCGCACGCGCGCACCCACTTCCCTGCGGGAGCACGGCCAGCCCTTGGCCCCGCCCACTCCCGGGCTCCGCCCAGCACACCAGGCCTTCTGTGTTTTGCTCACCGTGCACCACTCACCACGGGTGGGTTGGGATGGGAGCCTCAGGCGTGGGGGAAGGCCCCCGCCCCCCGCTCCACCCATGACACCACAGGATCTTGGGCAACTACCCTGCCCCTTCTGGGCTCCATTCCCTCATCTGAAAATCTGAGTTCTTTGCCCTGACGCCCCAGAGGGGTTGCTGGGAGGATGGCATGAAGTCAAGGTCAAAGGATTCTCGGGGCAGATAGGGCTGTGCAGACATGGAGAGCTGAGTGGCCACGCAGGACTCCCTGCCCTGTGAATGAGGCCCCTTCCGGAGGGCTGGTCTGGAAATGCCCGTAAGCAGACCCCACCGTCTACAGAGTTAGCTGTCGGGAGGCAGAAAAGCTCAGACCCTGACCCGGGAGTACACAGGCGTGGGTTCTAGTCCAGCCCCAGCGTGCACCGCTTCTGGCGTTATGAACAAATTGTTTACCCTCACTCCACCTCCTCCACGTAAATAAAATGGAGATTATAAGGCGTCGTGGAGTAACTGGGATCACAAATGTCGGGCACTCGGCCCACTGCTAACACCTAGGGTTTTACCTGAGACCAGGGAGCAGGCCAGAAAGCTCCCTGGGGCTGTCCCCAGCAGGGCTCTGCGCCGTGTCGCATTGGATGGGGGGACCTGGGACCTTTGGGGGTAGGGGTGCTGAGGGGTAGAGCGAAGGGATGGGAGGCCCTAAAGGGAAGTGGAGGCAAGCCCAAGCCAAGGCCCTTCCAACGGGGCTCCGACCGGGCCTTCCGTCCCCCTGCTGGATAAAGACCCCATGCCCGGGCGGGGGTCCTGCCTGCTGCTGGCCTGCTCAGCCCCCCAAGGGCAGGGCGGCCCCATGCACCTGCCCACGTCTCCCGGTGCAGCTTCTTCAGCACAATGTAGAGAAAGAGGAAGACGGCCTGCAGGATGTGGGAGACAGTGCTGGCGTAAGCAGAGCCCCTGGGGGAGGAGAGAGAGCTGTGCCGAGGCCACGTCCGACTCTGGCCCTGGGGGCGGCGGCTCCGCTGCTGAAGCCAGCATGGAGGGGAAGGGGCCCAGGCTTGGCGCAGCCAGCACCTCATCCTGAGATCAGCCGCACCCAGGAGCCTTACTGCCCTGTCCCTGAGGGCCCCCGCTCGGCCTCTCCCCCTGGGGCTGGGGCAGCTCCTCTCCCTGTCTCCTTGGTGGTGTGTCCCCCTGAACCTGAGGAACCAGCAGGGCTCCCGAATTCCTCATGACATCCCACTTCTGGACGGCGGAGGCAGCCTCGCCCTTTTTGTGAGGCAGGGATGGCGACTGACCTGCCCCAGTCGGGGGTGGGGGGTAGGAGTGCCTGGTGGGCCCCTGCAGCCCACTGGTCCCGGTGCTCACCTGACCCCCAGGCTCAGCACAGAAACCAGGATGTAGTTGCCCAAGCCATTGATGCAGTTGCCCACAATGCCACTGAGGACTTGGGGCCAGACGATTCCCTGAAATAAACCAACAGCGGCCTTGCTGGGGCGGTGGAGCGGGGCCGGGGGGTTGGGCAAGCCCGGGTACGTCTAGGGATTGCCAAGGGGCTGGGGACATGTGGCTTCTTACTGGGCCTTGGTCAGTAGGTTCACAGGGTGGTGCCCAAAGGGGAAGAGCCCCAGGCACCCCTTCCCGCTGGAATAGGGCAGTGTGCTGGGGCAGGGGTCGCCCCTCTGGCCAGGAGCCTGTACCTGATTTTGCAAATATTTTGCCAGCAGGCCGTAAAGAAAAACCGCCTGTGTAAAATAAAAACAAAAAACCAGACACACACAAATAAACAACAACTACCAAAAAAAACCAAAAACAAAACCCCCCAAACAATCAAAACCAAAACACACATGATGAACATCAGGAGAGATTTCCGGGGGACCTGAGCGTGGGGTCATTATTTCGCCAAAATATGTCTGGGACCCCATGGGTGGGCAGAAGCCCCATTTAGCATCTCAGGGGCACGTTGGCCCCGCCTACAGGGGAGAGGCCCCCTCAGGGCTCTGCCGCAGGGAAGACAGGCAAGGCAAGCAGTGTTGGCTCTGACAAGGCTTGCAGAGAAGGACCCACCAGAGTCTGAACCCACGGGTTGCGACCACCCTTGAGCCAGGCTCTGGCTGCTGGAAAGGAGAATCTGGAGGGAGAGTCTTCGGGCTGGGTAGGGGTGGGGAGATGCGGACTGGCAGTGTGGCCACCCGTGGGCCCTGCTGTGCGGGTTCAAGCCCCCACAAGGCAGCAGGCCCTTTCCTGTGTGCAGAGGACAGAGAGGGCCTGCTCGTCAGTGTGTGTGTGTGTGTCAGGACGCTGCCCCTGCCCTTTCTGTCCTCTGCCAAAGCCTGGCCCGGGGCCTGCGCCTTCCTACCGCACCCCTTCCCTTTGCCCTCTGCTTCTCCTCCATATAGAGGAGAAGAGCATGGAGCTGGAGCAGACCGCCTGGGTTCAAGGGCCGGTTCTGCTTCTTATGAGCTGTGCAATCTTAGGCCAGTTACTTAAGCTCTCTGTGCCTCATCTATAACGGGGATGATCATGTGCGTGTATGCTATATATACATATATATGTAAAGTTAATATCACAAAATGCTTACAAAACAGTACATGCCACCTTTAAGCATCCCAAGTGTTAGGTAAGCATTCTGTAAATCCCGTTTGTCATTTTTATTATTATTTTATTGGTAAGTTTTACGCAGCATTTTAAGGGAGGGACTTGCTTTGTTTGATAAAGGAACTGACACAGTGGTAACTCTATAGGAGACTCTTGCAGCCCTGGTGGCTCTGTTTGGCAGGATACCATCACCTTGGTCTGAAGGGCTGAAGTATGGGTTCTAGCAAACACTTGGAGGAGACAGACTGGCCTGTGCAGGTGGGTTCCATAACGCAGCAGAAATCTGGGCCTGACCAGCCCCCAGAGGGGTCATGGCAGTGGCCTCTCAGACAGGCGGGCGTGGCTGGGGTACCTCCTGCCAGGCGCTGGCAAGCTTTAAAGCACCCCACATTCACACTTCCCAGATCCGCCCTCAAGAACTTCACCCCGTAGTGTCATGGAGGGTAAAGGGGAGCTGTCGTTGTGAAGACACAACACTGCCAGCTAGTAACGTGTCACTAAGTGTCAACAAACCAAATAGAATAGCAGTGGAGACATGCAGACCACGGGGTCAGGTGAGGAATTTCAGAAACTGACCTGACTAGATGCACTGCTTAGCTGGTATTTAACAAATTAATAGACAAAGAGGAGAATAGGCAATAATTAGTCGTAGTTAAAGTGTGTTAGGTGGGTTAGAGTCTGAAGTGTAAAAATAAAAGCCACCAGGGGGCTCAAAGAAATACAGGCAAAATGTTTATATAATCTTGCAATGGGTTAAAGTGTTATTAAGCTCATCAAAGACTTCATAAAGAACAGGATTTGTGGATCTGTTCTGTATACATTAGAAATTCTTTAGGTAAGGAGCGCCTGGGGGACTCAGTCCGATAAACATCAGACTCCTGATTTCCACTCAGGGCATGATCTCACAGTTCGTGGGTTCGAACCCCACATGGGGCTCTGAGCTGACAGTGTGGCACGTGTTTGGGATTCTGTCTCTGCCCCTCACCCACTTGCTCTGTCTCTCTCAAAATAAATAAATAAACTTAAAAAAATTCTTTAAGTCAAAAGTATCAAAAATTAGAAGGCAAGTGACAAACTTTAAAAAAACTAACAGGCAAAGGGCTAAGATACTAGTTAACAAGTTATAATAATTAGGAAAAGATTAACCTGCTTAAAAGAGTCTGTACAGTTCCCAGAAGAAAAACAAAATGATGAAAAAATACAAGAAAAAAATGTTCGTTAGCAATAACATACATGTGAAAGCTGTTTCCAATTGGGAAAATTTTTTTTTTAATTCTTTCAATGTTTATTTCTTTTTGAGAGAGAGAGAAACAGAGTGAGCAGAGGAGGGGCAGAGAGAGAGGGAGACACAGAATCTGAAGCAGGCTCCAGGTTCTGAGCTGTCAGCACAGAGCCCGACGTGGGGCTCGAATTCACGAATGTGAGATCATGACCTGAGCCGAAGTCAGACGTTCAACCGACTGGGCCACCCAAGGGCCCTGGGAAAAAATTTTTAATAGGACGCTGACAAGAGTGTTGCTAGCGAGGGTAAAATTGGTACAAATTGGTATCAAAAGCCATTGACAAAACAATACCAGTTCCCATAATGCACCTGAAGGAAATCATTACAAAGATTTTTCTAGAATGTTTATCACAATCTCCTTTCTAATAGTGAATATTGGAAACAACCTGAATACGTAACAAATTAGGATTAGTTACTAAATCATGACACTATACGCTAGTGCATAGCCTCTGAAATGGATATTGCAGGAGGCGATTTAATCATATCAAGAGACTGCTATTAGAAAGGGGAAGAGCAGGTTATAATGCAATATACACACACTGACCCTCTTTCAAACCGTACACGTGTATGTGTCTTTGAGCCCACGCTCCCATGAGCAGAAGTAACCCTGGGAAGGGATAGGACCCTATATTCTCTCTGGGTGGCAGGATTAGAGGCGATTTTAATTTTTTTTCCCACGCGTCCCACAATTTCTGGCAATGGTTTTCCCATCTAAAAACGTGCCATGTTACATCTTAAAGTGCAGTCTGCATACACGGAACGGGACTGGAATTCTGCTGTCCCTTCAGCCAGACTCAGTGGCATAGCGGGAAGTCGTTGCAGGCTCACGGGCTTGCCCAGCACATGGCGCGGCAAAGAAAAAGCCAGAATTTAGGGGTGTGGAAGTCCACCCACCTCCCAGCTCAGCAGACGGTTACACTTACCGGAAGTGCTGGGATGAAAATGAGCACGTACTCTTGGGTTAACCTGCAAAAGAAACAGAAGCTCCAGAGCTGACCAGGCTGTGCCCTCCAGGGCTGGGGACTGGACGGCTGCCCGAGGAACACCCCGGGCACCCCAGGTTTGAAAAGAGGCTTTGCCAGACCCTGAAGATTCTCTTGCCAGACCCTGAAGATTCTCGGCCAAGACAAGTGAAACCCCAGAGGTCAGGGGATGCTGCTAATTACCTACTAAGAAGGTGTCAGGAATGACTAGGAACTTAAATTCGGAGCAATGTGCTGTGTATACGAGGGGGAGAAGACTATATCTTATCAAGAAATAAATGAATGAAGGGGGTGCCTGAGTGGCTCAGTTGGCTAAGCATCCGACTCTTGATTCCTACTCAGGTCGTGATCTCATGGTTTGTGAGTTCAAGCCATGTGTGGGGCTCCTTGCTGACAATGTGGAGCCTGCTTGGGATTCTTTCTCTCTGCTCCTCCTGCACCCTCTCTCTCTCAAAATAAATAGAAAAAAACTTAAAAAAAAAAAAGCCAATGACGGGCACATCCTATAAAATGAACAAGCTACTTCCACAGGGGACATTTCTAAAATTAATAATAAACGGCGTGGATTCATCTGAAATTGGCTCAGTCTTCTTTCTCTTTTTTGGAAGATGGGGTAGTGCACACTTCAAGTCTCCAAAAGCATCTGAGAAGCCCCAACTACCGGCTGAGAAAAAATGCAAATTCCATCATTCCTCTGCCCTCCTTTCCTTCTGAATTAGAACTGGTCCTGTGTCTGCCCCCTGCTGGTCACAGCTGGAATCGCATGCCACGCAGGAGAGTCCAAAAACCAGACCCTGGAACTCTCCCTTGTAGGAGCTGCCCTTGTGACGGCTTGTGACCCAGAGAAGCATGAGGGCCTAGAGCATGGGCTTCTTTGAGGCGGGGGGCTCCCCGGCTTCCCAGCAGAAGGCAAGCAGTACCTGGACACGGCTGGGTCCTGCTTGAAGAGCAGCAGAATGTTCTCGGTGTTGATGAAGAGTGCCCAGCAGGGGAAGCAGCAGAGAAGCAGCACCAGGGTGCCCCTCTGCAGGATGACCCCCACGTGCTTCTTGTTGGGGCTTCCAAAGCTCTGCAAAACATGCCATCCCTGGGTCACACCTTCAGTAGCTCCCGTCTGTCCCCTGGGTGAGCCCAGCGGGGGCATCTACCTCCTAGCCAGTGTCGGTGCTGTGGGGACGGGCCCGGGACACGACAGGCACCCCGTAGCGGGCATGTGGCACCCCTCGGTTCCAGTGTGGTTGGGGGGCTTCCTCTGTAGGGGCTCAGCCTGCTTGCAGAGTCATAATGGCGATGATTTCCCGAGCATGAGCTCCATGCCCGGTGCTGTGCCCGCCTCTGTCTACCCATTGTCCCCAGTTTTCAAAAGCGCCCAAGTAGGAAGGTGTTATCCCCCCCATGTCACAGCTGGAGCATGGGAAGCTCTGAGAGCATCTGTCAAGTCTCCATGCTGATGAGAGGCAGCCGGGACGAAGCCCAGGTCCCCAGGCCCACCGTGAGTCCAGGTCCCCCCAGGAAAGCTGAGCCCCATTGGGCTCCGGGCAGGGGACAGAAGGGTCCCATCTGTGCGCCCTCAGCATTTGACACATGAGATCAGGGAACTGCCTCTGCCCCATCCCCTCTGTGACTCTCTAGCCCGTGTGCTCAGACTCTCTAAACACAAACGGTCTAATTCCCTGATCGCACGCAATCCTTGCAGGCAGGCCAGGACCAGCCACCCCCTACCCCCAGCCTGTTTGATGGGCACCCATTGCCCGGCTCCAAGAGGCACACCTACCTGGGACATCAAGGTGTCACATGCCGAGGACAAGCCCACTCCTATGGAAATTCCACAGACATTGACAAACTGGAGCCACACACAGGAGAAAACACAGGGCTTGTCAGGGCCCAGGGAGGGGACCCCAGGAGGGGATCCTCCATCTGGGGGGGGGCTGCCCAACAGCAGCTCTGATGTGCAGCCCCCCTCCCCTGCCAGGCCGCACACACTCTGTGCCACAGGGTGAGGCCCCCAGGTCCCAGCTCTGAATGCAGCTGTCAGCCCTCTTGCCGTCTGACGGCGGAATGGAGGGGGAAGCTATACTCACCGCCACCGAGAGGGTCACTGACGCCAGCTCCAGCTTGCCCAGGTGCCCGCAAAACACCGAGCTCACAACGTGGATCATGAAGGCCAGCAACTGAAACAGGAACTAGAGAACAGCGGCCAGGATCAAGGGCGCTGCACAGCCCAGCCCCACACGGAGGCTTCTCCACATCCCGCGGGGCCTCACACCAGAGATCCTGCAAACACACACACACACACACACACACACACACGGCCGCTGGGCCAGTCCCCCACACCAAGGAAGCAGGCATTGTGGTCTGAGCCAGACTTCCAGGGCTGGGAGTCAGGTGACCCTAGTCGTGCTCCCGTCTCCATGTCAGCAGCTGTGTTAACCTCTGGGGTTAACCTCCGGGCAGCGGGTTCCCTGCCGAAAAGTTCAGGAATGCACCAGAAGCGCCCAGCAACACACAGAGCCTGGAGCACAGAGAGCTTAATTCAAGCATCCAACGCTCTACTGATGTTATCATCATTTGGTCAGGCCACAGACACGCAGAAATGGAAGTGTGGAATAGCATCTTAGCAATGGCTGCGTTCTGGTTGTGGGATTAGACAACTTTCTTTCTTCTGTTTTTAAATATTTTTTTAAACATTTATTACTTTTGAGAGAGAGACAGAGTGTGAGCGGGGGAGGGTCAGAGAGAGGGAGGGGACACAGATTCTGAAGCAGACTCCAGGCTCTGAGCTGTCAGCACAGATCCTGATGCAGGACTTGAATCCACGAACTGTGAGATCATGACCTGAGCCGAAGTCGGACGTGTAACCGACTGAGCCACCCAGGTGCCTCGCATTTTATTTGAAACTTTTGTGGGGTGCCCCTCCTTGAGTGGGGCTGCTGAGCGAGGTCAGGGCCCCCTGCCACACCAGGCACTGTCCAGGGACAGCTGTCCTGCAGTCATCTGCTCTGGGCGGTGGCCCCTAGTGCAGCCTGGACATGGTCGATGTGGGCAGTTTCTGGGGACGGGTGTGAGCGGCTCCTGGCTCAGCCCCTTCACACCTGGACAGCGGCTGGCCCCAGCCTTACTGCCCCCCTCCCCCACATCATCTACTTACCAGGGGTCCAGAAAGGACAAAGAGCATCCACGCCTCGGCCCCAAAGCCAACGGGGACCAGCTTGCGGAGAGCAGGGCAACAGCCCCCTCTGTCTGGGGGGACCGTGTCCCGAATGCTGTCCATTCCAAGACCAGGCTGCCGGCCACCCTGCATGCCCAAGTGCCCCTGCAGCCAGCCTCGCCCGGCCAAGCCCATGGCAGTTTGTAGCCTGGCTAATGAGTAAGGGGCAGGAGGAGGGGCCACAGCGGCAGCCTATCAGACAAGCCCAGCGTCCCTGGGTTCTGTCACTAGAAAACCGTGGGCACCTGGGAGGCCCCCAGGCTGGTGCCTGTAGGTATCTTGTGTCTGCGGAAAAGGTTGGGGCGGTGTGGGGGCGCGCAGGGCCTGGGGGGTGAGGGCAGCATGGCCTCGGGGGAGCTGAGCTGAAGCGCTGGGCATCCTACCCCTCGGCGTGAGGTGCCCGTGATGACTCCCATTTCACAGATGAAACGATGGAGACTCAGAGAAGCAGGCAGCAGAGGCTGGATTCCGCCGGGTGGAGAGCATCCAGAGCCCTGCCCTGGGAGTGGTACGGTGGGGGGAGCAGCGGCCTGGAGCCAGGGTCCGGGATACCTGGGGAGGGACCCCAGCCCTGCCTCTGCCCACCCTTTTGGCAGAGAACCAGGGTGACCCCCCCCCCCCCCGGGCACACAGCTCACCCCTCCCGCCCTCCCAGACTGTGGGAGGCTCATAACTACCACCGAATTGACCCTGTCCTGGATCAGGCCTTGGGATGTGCGAGCCGCACCGAGGGAGGGGGCGAGGAGCAGAGCCCCCACCGAAAGAGAGGAGTGAGGATGGACACAAGCCGAAGGTGTGCACCACAACCCACGCCGCACACGCCCCGCGCGCCCTGCTCCCCATGCGCACGCGCAGACCTGGTCTTCGCGCAGAATCCCAGCCGCCCCGCTGGCTTGTGCACCTGCGCGAGCTGGGTGATGGCTATGCCTTCCCTCTTTCTGTCCCTCGTGGACAAAGGGGAAGAGAAGACATTTTATTGCCCTTGTAATTATTAGTGTAGGACCCAAAAAAGGCAGGGCGGCGGGTAAAAGCCACAACGCCTTCGTTATAAGCTCATCGTCAGTATTTATGACATCTCTCCTCCGATGCCTTTTCTGGTTCTCCTCTCCTTTGGCTAGTTTGGCTTCCTCTTCCGAGAGGGTGGCCAGGAACCTTCCGTCAGGGCGCCTGGGCCTCAGGGATCTCTGCTATGGGACACCTGCTGCCCCCAGACAGGAGGCCATGCGGCGGGAGCAGTGACGTGACTTCTGTGGTCAGAATCCATGTTTCGTGGGAGTCCCAGCGATGGGGGGGGGGGGAGGGCCCTCCATAAACCTCGTGGGTGCGGGCAGGTGAGCAAATCTAAACCCAAGGTCTGCTTTAATAAAGGCAAACCTGCCCCCACCAGGACAGAAGGTATTTGGTGCAAATGGCCTGCTTCCAGCAGCTTCTAGCAGCGTCTGGTCAGCCTTTACCATACTGACCAGTGGGGTACCGAGCAGCCGCAGGCCAGGGCTGTGCATTCTCAAAGCCTATCCCACAATACACCCCAGCATTTTTGCATAAGCTAATAATTCCTACAGTTCCCTCTGAATAAAGCTATTCTTTCCCACACTCTTTTCAGGCCCTGGGTGGGTGTCCAGGCCTGTGGGGAGGGGGCGGTTAGGAACATGGAGGGGCCCCGTGGCATTGCAAGGTCACTGCCGCAGGCCAGGGACACAGTGACAACTGCTTCCTCCAGGTGAAGAGTCCCCCAAAGGCTCCCACATGACTGCGCTTGCAGGCTTTTTCAAGGAACACCCCCATCCCACCTCGCCGGGCCCCCCACTGCATTTCGGTTCAGCCGCCTGCGGACTCAGCCTTCCAGTCTGGTTTTCTGGGACTCAGCCACGGCAGCCACAACGTGGCCGTCCTGTGGGGAGGTGAGAGCTCAGGGGTGCCGCCTCCCCCCTTCCAAGCTGTCCAGCACCGGGGGGAGCAGCATGCCACCCTCCCGTCCGGCACCCCTGCGGCCTCAGCACACACCACATTAATCAGCAGTTCAGCTCTTGAGATCACGTCCGTGAATGAATCCCTGTGACCTTGGGAGCCTGTCACTTCCCAGGTGACCTCCCCCACCCCAGGGCACGGGGCACGGTGACCTACAATGTCCTCCCTTGTGCGGGTTTCAGTTCTTTGGGGAAAGGGGAGGAACGGGCTTGAGATAATACTGGAGAGCAAGGAAGGGGGGAGGAGGAGGGAGGGAACTCGGAGGGAGTCATTATTGGCAGGTGATCATTAGCCCAAGAAAGCCGAGGAACCAGCCTCGAAGCGGAGAGAATCCGGGCAACTTTGGACTCAGGGCTCTTACGGCATCCTGAGGTGACTCAGCTCCAAACACCTTCAGTCCCAGGGGCCAATTTTTGGGTAATCAGGAGCAGGAGGCCACCAGTGCTGGGAGGGGAAGGTGAGTGGCAGGGAGGCGGTGAGCTGTGGCCACCTGGAGTGGGGCCGGGGGTCCCCCCCCAAAGATGGGCTGCTGTACAGATAAGTCACCCGCATGTCCTGCAGAGTAAATGACGCTCACATTTCCTGTCTTAAACCAGCCACCATCTGTGTGGCGAGTCTAGGCTGCTGGGACCAGCTGGCTGTTTTGGCTACAAGTCGGTAAGGCCGGCCCGGCCCAGCCTGGACAGTTCAATTCCCAGAAGGGGGTGCCTGCTGTCGGGGGGTGCTCCACTGGGGCTGTCACACTGCCCATTTGCATCTTCCTTCACGGGGCCTCCCTGGGCAGCGTGCGCTTCTCACCACATGAGGTTGGCTTGAGGAGAGAACATTCCAGAAGTGCATGGAGGAAAGGGCGTTCATGTCAAGATGCAGCCTGGGAAGTTACACAGGTCACTTCCGCCTGTTGGCCGCAGCTAATCACAGGGCTTCTGCTTCCTGATAGAAAGAGTGGCAGACCACCTTCGGCCTCTGTGCCCCTCCAAAGGCACACCTGCTCCCCTCCCCCCTCCCCAGCTCCCCTCTCCCCTGTCCAGCCCATTCCCCCCCCCCCCCCCCCCGTGAGCAAGGGTGGAGCAGATTCAGTCTCCTGCACGCAGTGGTGAGGGGGCTCAGGCCCACCCAGGACCCCCACAGGGAAGAAGGACCTAAACTCACAGAGTCCTGGGAGGTAGGAGGAGGCGCGACGAGGGGGAAGGGGAAGGGAGAGTCGTGGTAAGACCCCTCAACACACCTGAGGTTAAGGAGGCTTTCAACCAACGAAGGGGAGCCTGAAGTTGGTGTCCGCTGTGTCCCCAGGCGCCTGGAGTGCTCATGGGAAGGGCTCAGCTCCCAGCCATGGGGTAAGAAAACTCAGGGTGGGGGGCCTCAGGCTCCCCCCACCTGTCGCAGAGAGCAGCTCCGGCGGCACGTGGAGGACAAGTCCCACAGGGGTGGCCGGGTCCCTGGCCGGTCAGGTAACTGATTGGCCGGGGGTGGAGGCTGGGGCCTCTGTTGACCTCTCTTCACTTGGTTACACTTTACCAGCCTGAACCTGTTATTTGCCCTTGGGCTGCCCCAGAGCCCTGCACCCCCCTCGGGAGCCAGCGTTTCTCTCTCTGACCCCTTCTCACGTCTCTGGTGACTGAAGAATTCCCAGGTATCCACTGGGGAGAGGGGGGCTCCACACCCGTCCTCAGAACAAAGAGCACCTGGGAAGGATAAGGTCACTGCCTGTCCCCAGGCCGCCAGTGAGGGTGACCAACATCCGCCTGACCGAAATGCCTGAGGTCACCCCGGCACCCCCAGGGCAGCCACTTCCTTGTCTCTCTGCCTCTACCCAGCACCTCTTCCCTCTAGGCCTTACCCCTCCTCCCTTCTCCCCTTTCTCCTCCCACAAGGCTTCACGGGCTCCTCCCCCACAGAAGCTCCTAGAGCCCAGTCCTGACAGGTAAGGGACAAAGCCTCAGCAGGGACAGCGAGGCCCCTGCAGGGGCCCTGCCAAGGGCCAGGCTCCTTGAGCCCCAAAGATGGCGGGGGCATTTCCCTCCGGGAGGAAGTTGGGAATGGAAAGGAATATTATTCAGTATTAGAAAGAAATGAGCTCTCAAGCCGTGAAAAGACACTGGGCAACCTTAGATGCAGGTTGCTGCGTGAAAGAAGCCCATCTGGCAAAGCGGTCCTACCTATAGGACATTCTGGAAAAGGCAAAACTATGGAGACAGTAGAGGGACCCGTGCTTCAGGGAGAGGGAGGAATGAACAGCAGGGAAGGAGGCTTCTTAGGGCAGTGAAACTATCCTGTGTGATCCCAGAACGGCAGATCCATGTTCTTACATATTTGTGCAAACCCCCAGAACACACAGCATCGAGAGGGAGCCCTGATGTAAGTTACGGACTTTAACTAATAGTATGTATTAGTGTTGGGTCCCCAGTTATAATAAATGTATCATCCTCCGGAAAGGTATTAATAACAGGGGAGACTGGGGGGAGGGGGAGTGGGAGTAAAACTTTTATATAAATGTAAAAAATGTTGTAAAAAATAAAGTCTACTATGGCCGCCTGGATGGCTCATTTGGTTGAGTGTCCGACTTTGGCTCAGCTCATGATCTCACGGTTCGTGGGTTCGAGCCCCGCATCGGGCTCCGTGCCGACAGCTCGGAGCCTGGAGCCTGCTTCAGATTCTGTGTCTTCCCCACTCTCTCTGCCCCTTCCCTGCTCCCATTCTGTCTCTCTCTTTCAAAAATAAATAAAACATTTTAAAAAATTAAAAAAATCTATTAAAAACAGTAGACAAGGGGCACCTGAGTGGCTCAGTCGGTTAAGCATCCCATTCTTGATTTCAGCTCGGGTCATGATCTCGTGGTCGTGGGATCGAGCCCCACGTCGGGCTCTGCGTTGAGCATGGAGGCTGCTTGGGATTCTCTCCCTCCCTCCCTCTCGGCCCCTCTCCCCCACTTGTGCACTCTCTGTCTCTCAAAAAATAAAAAATAAAATTAATTAATTAAAATTTTAAAAAGGTAGACGAAATAATAAGAAGGGGTAGTATTTACTGAAATTTCTAAGGAAAATGCCCTCCCCCTTGCACCTTTAATTTAAGAGTGCATTGGTGGCACCATTCAC